CCGCGGCCGGGGCGCCCGTAGAGGTGAGGCGGGCGCTGAGGGCCCCGGTGCGCCGGATGCGAGGCCTTGCGGCGGGAGGGAGGACGGGCCCGGCCGCGGAGGCTTTGCAAGGTGACGCCGTGCCCTGCTCACTGGGGGCTGAGGAGCATGATGAGGTCCCGAAACACCTCTCGGAGACAGCGGCGCTCACAGGGGCTTGCTGAGGGCGAAATGGGGCCGTCACCGAGGCACCGGCATTCCCTCCCTGTTTTTTCCTACTTGACAGGCGAGGTAACAGGCCTCCGGCACTGCGCTTAGGGGAGGCTCTGAAACGCGTGGGCCTGCTCTCCAGCGCAGTTTAGTTATGGAAGCGTGTTAGACGAAGCAGTAAATCCATGTGATTTTTTTGTGCTTTCGTTTCTAGATGCCTGTGACTGTGGGCCCGTACGGGCAATCGCAGCCCAGCTGCTTTGACAGAGTAAAGATGGGTTTCATGATGGGCTTTGCAGTGGGCATGGCAGCAGGAGCACTGTTCGGCACGTTCTCCTGCCTCAGGTATGCCAAGGGAATGGCTTCTGTTGACAAGTTGTGACAAAGCGATGGCCAGAGAGTAGTGGACTGGGATTAGGAAGGGAGGCACAGGTCTGGTCCTGTGTCGTCATGTAGGAGAAGCATTATCAGTGGCTCCAGATTAGCCACAGCTCGAGAGCCTGCTGTCAGCCCCGGCCTCAAATGGGAAAGTCTGGCGATGGTGAGGCATCAGCTCTGGGTTGGCTGTGTGTGAAGTCACAATTTCACAGACCTTTTCCTGCCGCTCATGAGGGAGGTTGCGTTGGGAAGCTGAGGCTGTGAAAGATAAGCTCCAGGAGAAGCTTGATGAATTGTCTGTGCAGATATACGTGCAGCCCTCCCTCGCTCTAAAGCCTCCCGAGGTACTCTGCAAGCTCTCGGGTATCTGCATCGCAGTTGGTTTGTGTTTCCCATCCCCCTGCATGGAGGCAGTTACCGTAATGATCCCAAGTCTCAGTTTTAAGAGTGTAGGCTGTGGCTGGCATCAGCACAATCCCATTGCGAATCAGAGAGGGACAATATTCCACCTTCCTCCGGTGCTCCCCGGCATACCAGCACAGAAACAAACAATGCTCACTGCTCCAAGTTAGCTCTTGCACTGCTTGCTGACTGGTTTTGGCACACATCATCCATGAAAAGGAATTACTAAATAAGCTCTTTCCTACTGTGCAGAACTCTTTCTGCTTGAGGTTTTTTTTTAATCTGTGATTAAACATGGGTGATGATTTGGTAGTGAGCCTAAAAGGAGAAAAAGGCACAAAGTCTAATCTGATAAGAGTTTTAAAAGTTTTCTGATCTGTCTTAGATCCTGGAGAGTATTTGTAAGTGGTACAATGCTAGCTGAAAATCCAGATTGAGTATTTAGAAGCAGCAGTAACAGTGGTTCCGTTGTGCTTGAATGACATGGCTATGTTACTTCCGCTGTAGCATTTCTGAGGGAAAATCTCCATGTTTTAAAAATCAAGCGCATGAAATTCCTTAGACCGTACAGTCACTGCACACTTAAAAGCCAAATACTACAAGAGCTTCCTGAGAAGGAACAATTCTTTTTGTTTCAGTCTGGCCTCGCTAAATGGGAACTGGAGAACAGAAATGCCTCTGGACACTTCTAGGCTTTGCAGGTTTCTTTCATATTAAAAATACAGCATCAGTGGTAAATAGGAAGTTACCTTACAACATGGTTTTAAGTTGGTGGTATTAAAGATACTGCCACTGCAGCCAGGCAGGGTGGTAATAAAACAGCTCAGGCCTTTTCTGTTCTCTGGCAAGTCAAATATTTGGACAGCGCTCCCCTCCCCCCCAAGCTAAGGGTATTTGGTGCACTAGCAAGTAAAGCTATTCCTGCTAATGGCAGGGCAAGAGGATACAGCAGCAGCTGGTACTGCTGCAGGAAGAAAATACACAGGGGCCATTGGCAAGGGTCACTCAAGTGCCTCAAAGAGAACAGCTCCATTTTTGTTTGCAGTGGCTCAGGCAGAGTACCACAGCCCATCCCTTGCAGAGGCAGGTGGAGTCATTTTAAGTTTAGACTGAAGAGATGTTTGATTTGGGCACTCGGGCAACTGTTATCTGGTTCTATCAGGTGTTTTCTGCTGCATGTCTGTTACCTGTCAGGCTTCAGGTTTTATATAATTCCCATCTTTTTCTTTGTCTCAGGATTGGCATGAGAGGACGAGAGCTGATGGGTGGAGTTGGCAAAACGATGATGCAAAGTGGTGGGACGTTTGGGACATTCATGGCTATTGGTATGGGAATCCGCTGCTAACCTGGAGCTTGGGTTTTAACCCAGAATGCCCCTGTCCAGCCTTTCCTCCTCTGTACCATAATAAAATCTTTAGATACCTGGAAGTGAGAGCTCTTCATGAAATGGTGAACCACCATCCTCCTTCCTCTGCTGTTGTAAACATGCTCTTTACCAAATTCCTACTTTCCTCCTGTCTCTTCCTCCCACAGCAATGAGAATTAATAATCCTTTGTACTACATTAAAGTTCCTATTTCATAGGTGTAAGCACAGTGTGCACATTTCTCCCTTTGGTTCCTCAGGCAGCTCACATTCACCATCTGTTGATGTGGAGGCGCTCCATTGCATTCGTGCATTCCCGAGCCTAGGAGAGTTACTCTGTGGATAAGTTGGATCAGCTATCAAATTTCTCCTCTTGCAAAACCAGGTGGGGTGAAGCTGACCCCACTTCTGAGGTCCAGGTAATACAGGGCAAATGCCCTCACAGAGAGCAAGGGACCCGAGAAGGACTTGGGTGAGTCCTGAAGCAGCAGCTAGGGCACCTTCCTCCAGCCAGCCTGGCAGCATATGGGGCGCAGAAAGCAGTCAGGGAACAGCACAGAGCAGGCATACCCATGCTGCTAGAGCTAAAAACCATTCAGCTGCTGGAAAAAAGAACAGGTCCTGTAACATGACAGCTAGAGGTATTTTGTGAGAGTCACAAGGATGACACCAGACCTAGGAGACATAACCTGCCTGTCAGGCCTTGAGCAATGCTGTTGCTAAATCTCTGCCTTCAGGACTGGCTGTGCTGCAAGTTACTGTGTTATCAGCATAGCTCAGCTTGACCACCCCACCTCCTTCACAGCGCTGAAGGGTGGTGTCTAACAGCTTCAGCAAGGCGAGCTGCAGTCTGCCCTACAGCCCTTCTAGAGAAGGGAAGGACAGAACCCATGCTTGCGGCTGCCTCCAGTGATAGGAACTTGCAGTGGCTTCTTTCATCCCCTCAGCAAAGGAAGGGGGCTCTATCTGTAGGACAGTGCTCCACCGGCAGAGTCTCTCCCTCCAATCTGCCTTAACAGGTCTCCAAGGAGCTCAGCGCTTCCCAGGGAGAGCAGGGGATTCCTCCCTGCCACTTGCCAGCCTCTGTAGCAGTGCCTACAGCCAACTACGATGAGTTCAGTGTTGCAATCTTGTTATTTGCCTTTTGAAACAAGGCTTGCCTTTGCTCCTCCTTTACTTCTGTTTAAGGATAGGACAGATCAGCAGCAGCAGAACCTGAATGAGCACCAATACAGCCTTCACCCAGCACAAGCACCATTTCCCCAGTTTTTAAGGGAGAAACATAAATCTGCCACCAAAAGCCTGCTCACTCTCTGCTGTCATGCAGCTCAGTAACCTCCCAACAGAGAAACTCTGCCAGCAGCCACCAAGTCAAGCAGCACAGCTGTTCTGGAACACCTCCAGTTTTACCCTAACAGGCACTGGTGGGTTAATACTGGCAAATAAAAATAGAAGGTCAAGCAAAACTAGAGAGCAGCTTTGCTTGGCTTCCTTCAGCTGTGTCATGTAATCCAAATACACCCTCCCACAGAACATTCCTGCCTCCTGCCCGCATTTCCCTTTGTGCTGCCTCCCATCTCCCACTCCAGCAGTCCAGGAGGGAGCCACAGGAAACAGCCTCTTGCCCTATGTACGCCCTGAACAGCAGCACCCAGGACACTGGGGACCAGGTCACCACTACATTCAGTCCCAGGCACTGGCAGCATCCCTGCCCAGCCCATTTTCACCCACCTAGGTGGAACCCGCTCTCTGCACCTTTGTCAAATGCAGCTTTTGTGAGCCAGTGCTTAAGAGTGGCAGGGAGGGGGAAGGGAGTACTAAGAGGGCAACCCACTCAGGCAGGTTTCCCTGCAGAAACCAGATGAAAAGCCAACATGAATTACTCCTACATCCCCATGATTCACAACCATTTGTGGAAGATGGGGGCAGAGGGGGAAGTGATCTCTGGAATGAATCTGCAGCAGGCCTGAGAAAGGGCCAGAGCTGTCCCCTGCCCAGGCAGTGAGACAGCCCACAGGCCCTGGACCACCAGGGAGGGTTCAGGACAGCAGGAACCAGCTCCTGACTTTTCTCCTGGAGGAGAGGGTGGTACTCCAAACATCCACCATCCCAAGGCATCTCTCACTCACCTCCAGTCTCCAGCAGACACTGCTTAAATCACATGAGGCGAGCGGAGAAATAAAGCTTCATGAAGGCCTTTTTAAGAGAATTTTATTTGAGTGGTTCTTACAAAGATTGTTGCAATATGAAAGTCTTTGTTTGATAGAAATATCAAGCTGTCTTGTCAAACACACTGAAGTAACCCAAAAATATATTTCAGAGCTCACAGAGCTTAAAAAGAGCAAAGATTATATGCAACCAGAACAAAACACATTTCTGTATTTCCTACCAATTTTCAGGCTCGGCTGAAACCCTTCAACTGTGCCACACTGCATACATAGAAACTTATCTGGAAATGCAGAGATAGTTTTGTTTGGAAACTTATCAACACACCTCACACAGTATTTACAAAGAAACTTTTACAGATACATTAATCAAAAGTTACCATCAAGAAATAAAACCCTTCAATCCTTCTATTCTTACCAGTTAGTCAGCACAAAGCAAGCTGAGGGGCTCTCTAGAGTCAGCTTTCAGTAGCCTCTTGAGTTTTCCATTTATACAAAACACTAAATATGTCCCTTCATAAAGTCTATCTCCAATATCCACCTTTAGCAGATCACCTACATTTAGTGAAATGTAAAATGTAATTGCTGCATTAAAAGAAAGGCTTGTGAAACATTAAAAATATCCTTATGTCCCATCTGCCTTTTACAGAGAACTTGTTTTCTATGAGCTACTTCTCAGTTCCTACAGATCACCTTAGTAAATGTACAAGAATTACAAGGCAGAACAAGAAGTCAACAGCTTTGTATACAGTGGAAATGCTAGTTAGGGAGAATGAACACACTGCATTTCTGCTTACTTCATTTTATTTTTAAAGGTAGCAGGAAGTGTACACAAAATGACATTAAATCCTCTCCTTTAGTTTTATCTAAATAAAAGATAACTCAATCTTCCTCCAAAAAATAACTATGTACAAAACGGACTAAATCCATCTTCATCGTCGAACAGGAACCAGTAGTTGGGTTGCAGTCATAGAGTCTGGGAAAAGGCTATGGTACGTTGGAAGAGGTACATACGCTGCTGTAATCATTTTACCTAATCAGAAGATTTAAAAAAAAAAATAAAATACCAGTATTTGGTCATTTCTGTAATTTGTCAATAAATGTATTCTGGTCTCTATGAAATCCACTCACCTGCAAACCACCTCCCATGCAACGCATTTACAGCTGCAATGGCAGCAGCAATCGAAGGACATTTGACATAGACATTGCCCTGTAACAGAGAAGGGTTACAGCCCATTAGAGGCTCAAGAAACATCCCACATCATCTGTTCTCGAGACACTTCCT